CATATAGTCACCTCCTATATAATCACATCATAGGTAATCACATTTTTATTTTGGCCAAACTATAATTTAATTTATAAAAAAAAAACCTCTATATAAGCACAACCTCTTTATAAGCACATTTTTAAAAAAGTTACTATGTACCCACCCAACTGTGTAATTGCATGGGAGGATGACTGTATTTGTATTTATATTATAAGACAAATTTTTTTTTTTTTAATATTAGAGTATAGCACCTGCTTTAAACTTTTATTAATACTTAAGCAAGTTGATATATGATAATGCTGAAATACATACATATTATATATTAGAACTAGAATTAGGACTTTAGATCTAAGATCATTTATCTATAACTAAACCTCACCAGAACTATCAACACTCCTACATGTGTGATTGACCTAAGTTTATATATCCACTAATTAGTATTTACATATTTGCTACTTTATCTACATTATCTAATATCTTAATTCTCAAATTGGTGTATACCAGGTAGGCACTTATTGCTCCCAGTTTGGTGTGCCTATTTTCAACTAGCGTATTTTCAGGAGTTCGTATTTCAAGCTATGTAGCTACTATCAAGAAATTTTTAAATAAGATGCATATTGATTACTAGCTGTAGAGTTAATTGGCATTGATTTATATCAATTATAATTGATTGCAATCATTTAAATTTAAATGATTACAATCGATTATAATCGATATAAATCGATTGCAATTATTTAAATTTAATAATTACAAGCGATTATAATCGATATAAATCGATGCCAATTAACCCTGCAGCTATTAATCGATATATATCTTATTTAAAAATTTCCTGATGACCTCTACTCAATTGGGTAAATATCTCAAGCCTGCATATTGCTATAACTAGCTGGTTTTTTGTGATTTTAAAACCAAGATCTTAATATTTCAAATTTGGTATTGTATAAATAACTGTATTTTCCAATATAGTGACAAGGCTGCTTTATCACCAAAATTTGCATGGGGATTACTATCGATTTTTATCGGTTATTGGATAGTAATCAATTTAAATCCCCCTGACAAGGACTATCGATTAAGATAGTAATCGATAATAATCAATAGTGATCAGATTAAAAATCACGAATAACAATACTATTATACTGTATACTTATTTTTAAACATTTTACATGTTTTCACAAGGTTTCGCAATTTAATATAAAATTTTATATTTTTTTATTTATTTTTATTTTTTATTATTAGGGTTTTATTTTTTGGTGCACTATACAATTTATTAAAATTTAAGTTATATTTAATTGATTTTTTTTATTGATTTTTTTTTAAAAACTTTACAAACATTGCGTAATAAACGTCGTTGCATAACAAGCATTGTTGCGTAACAAATGTCTTTGCATAACAAGCTAACAACTAAACAAACAAAAAAAAAAAATACTAACACACAACAATAGTTGCCTACGATGCTCGCTTACGCTCGCATCTAGGCAGAGTACCTGCGGTGCTTTTACTATTAAAATCCCAGCAATCCAACATACAATAATACAAAGGTTTTAATGATGGCATCAAAAGAATAATAAAAAGAGTTAGTAAATCATCAAAAACACAACAAAATACTACTAAAAATATTCCAAAAAACGACGGCGCCAAAAGAACGACAGCACCGAACTCACCAACGAAGACGTTATCTAAAATGCAACAAGAGAGTTAATAAATCTCACAAACACAATGAAATACAACTAAAAATACAACAAATGTTTCGACGATTACACCAAAAGAGCGACGACACCGAAAGCGATACCAAAGGAAGAACGACATGACACAAAAACAACAAAAGCCTATACTAAAGAAAAAACGACATCGAAAAGGAAGACTCACTACAAAATTCCACACCGAAGCGACTAAATCCCACAAAAAAGAAAGACTCACGACGAAATTCTATACCGAAAGAAAGTCGTGACACCGAAAGCGACGAAATAAAGATACGGCACCAAAAGTGACAAAGAAGCAACGAAATTACGCACAAAAAGAAGACACGACACCGAAAGTACGAAAATCTACACTAAAGACGCGACACCTAAAAGACAAAAAATGACAACAAAAAGAAAGACTCACGACGAAATTCCACACCGAAAGAAAAACTCGACACCAAAAGTGACAAAATTCCACCAAAACGACTAAATTCCACACTGAAAGAAAGACGTGATACCGAAAGCGACGAAATAAAGACATAGCACTGAAAGTGACAAAAAAATTATCACCAAAGAAAGAAGCGACGAAAATACATAGACTGAAAAGGCCAAATCCCATTATCTGAAGCGACAACAATAGTAATGGCGCATGACATCAACGACGACACCACTTAATGGTAATACCGAAATAGCGAAATCCTGTTACCTGAAGAAGAAGGAAAAAAAAAAAAAAAAAAACATTAGTTACAACAATAAAAACGAAAATGCAAAAAAAAAAAAAAACTGATAATCATTATCGATGATCAAATGGGCTTAAGAAATTTTGAACTTTGTTTTTTTTTTTTTTTTTACCCGGTGATTTGGGTTGAAATTTTTGTGACAGGTATATAATCGTTAAAGATCTGTTAATCATTATATATCGTTTCAAATAATTACGATTATAATCGATTTATAGATATATAATGATTTAATATAAAAAATAATATATATCGATTATAGATATATATCGATTTTTAACTAGTTAATCGATATATATTGTTATTTTTTAATCGATATAAAACGATTAACTGTTATATATCGATTAATATCTATACATAAAATTTGCTGATGTTAGGCATGTTTTATATATGCTTCCAGTATTTAATATAGTTGAATGGCATCATGAGGTCTAGAGGTTTTTAACAGATACATTATTGTTTTCTATTTATAGTGATTCTTAGCAATTATAGTTCCTGGTTATCACTATATTTACTTATACTATCTATACCTATATTGGTAGTTCCGAGTTCTCAAAACTTCCATATAAGTATGACTAAAGCCTATTAGGTCTATCAATATATACATATCTCTATGCTTTATCTTCTTATTGGCTAGTAAGTTCTATATATGCTAGAGGTGTTTCAAATCTAGTAAAGCCAATTCTTTATCACAAGTTCTTTTGTATTCACTACATTTTTTACCACTTCCAATTCTAGCTACTGCCCGGTTATCCTCCCAAACAAGATCTCCAATGCCATCTTAGAGGTTGTTGGTGCTATCTTGCTAATTACAGATTTACATGTACAACTTTTGGTAATAGAACCTTCTATAATGACTATTATTATATATAATGCCAACTACTCTACAATGAATCTTCTTCTGAAAATTTCTAATTCACTTGATCTTCTTATAGTGAATACTTCCAAATATTTGTAGATAAATATACCTACTAGAACTTGAACTCAAAACCTGCTCATAAAAAGTTGGATGTCTAAACTACTAAACCACAGAATCCTAACTCTTATAAGACAAAAATTTTAGATTGCTTATAAGCTAAAAATAAATAATTTTAGAGAAATTTTTTAACTAAAAAAATAATTTACAATTTTTTGATAAACTCTTTAAATATTAATTTTAAAATATAGTTTCTAATACAATATTGTAGTTTAGGGTGTGGTGATGTAGCGAAGTGGTAGAGTTGTCGCACCTCCAAGTTAGTTTGACTATAGGTACTGAGTTTGAATTCCACTGGCAACGTTTCAATACAATTTACTTGTATTATGATAACGGCTTATTCTAAATTGGGCTAGGTTCTATACCTGTAAACTAGAGCACACCAACGTCTTGAGTATAATGATGCTGCCCAAAACTTAGTAGTTTAGAATTAGCCAAAACTGAAACTAGTTTTACTAATTTTAGGTATAATTTATTTTTTTAAACTAGTCTAAAATTCGAAACTATACCAAAAGTCTAAAACTATCTAAAAGCTCAAAACTATATTAGAAGTTTAAAACTATATTATATATTCAAAATCATAAAACTATACCAAAAGCCTGAAACTATTATAATTCAGATCCAGATATCTGATAATTATCCAGATAAATACTAGATTGGAAGTTAAAGATGAGAAAGTTTGTATTATAAAATATTCTAATAGCTCTTTATAGTTAGTGTTAGGATAAGAAAATTTATATTATAAAATTATTCTAATAGCTTTTTAAAGTTAGAATTTAGTATTTTGATTATAGATATTTGTACTATATTAAAACTTCATAAAGAGTTTTTTTGATATATATTAGTCTTTTTAATAATATGATATATCTAATTCGCATAATTTACATGTGCAATACGTATTAATTATTCAATATGATACTTAAATAATCTTTATTAATTAACCAATTTTTTGCTATTTTATTAGTTTTTCTTTTGGTGATAGACTTTAGTGTGAGAACTAAACAAATCTCTATAATTGTTATATTGAAATAGCATATATTATTGTAAAGAATACAAACAATAGTCTATTATATTTCTATTTGCGTATATATAGCATATATACAGTATGTATATACGTATATAGCTTTAGCTTACTAGAGTTATATGAATTAAATAGCAGCCTTGTACATATATGCTACAATTATGATATACTAATTTAGTTAGACACTCATTTATACCAAAAAGAAAAAAGACATAATTTATTTTATTGGTTACCAAAAACTTACTACTTTGGATAGTGATCGGTAGATTTGTCTAACAATTTCTCATATTTGGATATTTTAGATTTATTTTTAAACATTTTCAGAATCATCCTGCATTTATCAAGAGTTCCTATATTGATATTAAAATACATATATAATTAATGTGTACATATATGTATTACCAGTATATGATCTATTTAGTGCAAGTATTAAATAAAATACTATAGTAAAAACAATAAAAAAAAGAATGTGTTGGTGAAAAAAAAATTATTTAATATATATCGTCGGCTTGAATAGTTTCGAAACGACCAAATTATCACATATAATATGTGATCAATTTAAAAATAGATTGAAGTCAGATTTTGGATCAGACTATATTTATTTTATAACATAAATTATTAGTATAATATTCATTAATTTAAAAGCTAAAGTGGTGATCAATAAATAATATAATATAGTTGAGTCAATTTTGAATTTGTAAGCAAGGGAAAAAATTAAGAACTAATAAATACTTTTTTTTTCAAAACTAATACTTACCCAGTTATTTTGCAAAGACTAAATGGATAGCCAAATCCCTAATTAAGTATGTATATAATAATAAGCTAATATAAAACAAGTTAATGAGAAAAAATTATTTAATACATATCATTGGCTTGAATATTTTTGAAGCGACCAAATAATCACATGTAATATATGATTAATTTGAAATAGATCGAAGCCATATTTTGGATCAGACTATATTTATTTTATGCTATGAATTATTAGTTAATATTCATTAATTTAAAAGCTAAATGGTGATCAATAAATGATGTAATAAGGTTGAGTCAATTTTGTATTTGTAAGCAAAAAAAAATTAAAAACTAATAAATACCTTTCTTCAAAACTAATACTCACCTGGTTACATTGCGAAGACTAAATAGATGATCAAATCTCTAATTAAGTATATATATAATAATAAGCTAATATAAAACAATAAAGAAAAGAACATGTTAATAAGAAAAAAATTATTTAATATATATTGTTGGCTTGAATAGTTTCAAAGCAACCAAATTATCACGTGTAATATATGATTAATTTGAAAATAGATCAAAGCCATATTTTAGATCAAACTATATTTATTTTATGATGTGAATTATTAGTATAATATTTATTAATTTAAAAGCTAAAGTGGTGATCAATAAATGATGCAATAAGGTTGAGTTAATTTTGTATTTGTAAGCAAGAGAAAAAATTAAGAACTAATAAATACTTTTTTTTTTAAAACTAATACTTACTTAGCTATTTTGCGAAGACTAAATAGATGGCCAAATCTCTAATTAAGTATGTAGATAATAATAAATTAATATTGATACTGTGCGAATAGTACATGAATTTAAATATGCATATATGAGTATCTGCTAATAATAGTTCGATTTTTTTAATTTTTTTTTTATTTAAAGTTGTTTATTTCACATAAGCTATCTTTAACGGCTTTTCAAAATTTATTCAATGACTTCATATGATTCATCTTCAATGGCTTTGCATTATTCATCTGAAGCTGAAAGAGAAACTGAAAATGAAACACATTCAAAACATCCTGGAGAAAGACCACTGGATCCTGTTTGAAAGCATTTTGCTGCAACTTTATTAAAATCACCTAGCTATTTTTCTGTGGTATATAAATATTGCAATACTCGATTTAGCCGTGGGTGTCCAAATGAACTTGAGATGCATCTTGCAAAAGAATGTGAAGGTGAAAGTATTGATGATAAAATAAGAAGCAAATATCTTGAAATTGTGGTTCAGAGACAACTATTAAAAGAAAAAATTAGTTCAAAAAATCAATCAAAAAAACAGAAAATAAGTATTAATAATTATTGGAAAAATGAAAATCAATTTTTGGCAAGTTCTAAGAAGGAAGCAATTGATCGTACAATTATTAAAGCCTTTGCTATGTGTGAACTTCTGTTTTCATAATTGAGAATCCATGATTTATCGACATACTTAAATCTTTACGATTTTCCTACTTGTAAATATCTTTCTAATACATTATTAAATGAAAAAGTGATTAAAATTAATTGGGAGACTGGGAAATACTTAAAAACTGCTGATAACTTGACACTTGGTAATTAGCTTTAATATACTTATACAATACTTTAACTTAAATAATTGTATTAAATTTATATTATTCTATTTAGGATTAGATAGTTGGACAAATTCTTAGAGTGCTTCGATTTATATTTTTTTTAATAATGACCCCTGATTATAAGGAATTTTTATATACTCTTCATAATTTGTCTCATGTTAGTTATACGGCGAATTTACTTTTTAATGAAATTTTAATTAAGATTGGGCCCGAAAAATTCATTGAAGTAATTTCTGATAATGCCTTGGCTATTGCTGCTGCATGTAGGCACATTAATCAAAAATTATCAATCTTCATTGTATTGTTCATTTTGTTAATCTTATTAGTTATGATATTCTAAAATGTAAATTACTAGTATGTATTTTAAAATATTGCAATAAGATATACTACTTTTTTAAAACTAGTTATTTAGCTGAAAGTTATTTAAATGATATATAGATGAATTAAATATTAGTGGAGGTGGATTAAAACTTTTTATAGAAACTAGATAGACATTTGTATATGAAACAGTTAATTCTGTATTTAGACTTAAACTTGTATTTTTTTTATTTTTTTTTTTTAACGACACTGTTTCTTTATTACTCATTATAGTGGAATATACACGAATGTATATTATTTTTACAAGATTTTTAGTATATCATTGGTTACAAATTTTTAAATAATACCTGTTATGCTGCTATCACTGAGTTCGTATCTCAAGCTACCTTTTAAGGCACTGCCAAAACCTAATCTGTATCTCAAGCCACAATCTTCCTAATTAGTTATCCCCTACTGCAGATATCCCAAGTCCCTTTCCCTGCGGTATTTCAGTTCTCAAACTTCTAGAACCACCTTGAGTAAGACGTACCAAACCTTACGGCCCAGTATAATCATATTAACCCTATTTACCTCACTATTGGTCCTCATATCCTGTAAGGTTTGCTTATCTCGACTCCAGGTGCCTCTGGATAATTAGATGACAGGATATTTCTATTTTGCTAGATATCATATGTCCTACACATATGTTTCTTATCTAGACTTCAGTAACCTACACCACAGCTCTACCTATGTACTTGGGGTCAGGGCTAACCATTGAACCTCTGTGATTACCTACTTCCACCTTTATTAGGTTTCCAACAACCCTGGTACCCGCATTTGGACTGTCTTCTTATCCGGATTCTTTATCGGTCTCTCTCTTACTTCCAGCCAGCAACCCAGAAGGGTCAGTCTGCCCAGGCTTTAGATACCTGAAGGATGCTCTCCCCTTGGTACATACTTTCGGAGCGTATATCCTTTTTCTCCGGTGCTACAGAACTCGGTGGTTCGACTGGTGTGTCCTCCGCCATTAGGACCTGGTCGTTTGGTTCTCTGATCTCAGGCCCCAGTTCGAATTCAGCCCTCTTGTGATATCATTGAAGATCATTATTACTCCTAACTCAGGACTTCCCAAATAGGTTTTTGGTTATGCTGGTTCCTCGAATTTATTGCGCTATTGCTCCTATTACTAGATGATGTGACCGAAGTTACAGATTAGATCCAACTGATATGCATAGCTGTTAACTAAACACAAGCCTATTTTTCAAATATCGTCGTCCGTGAGATTCGAACTCTAGATCTGCCACTTGGAGAGGGTGATGCCTAGACCACTACACTAAGTTGCCACACCTCTTTTTAAACTTGTATTAAAAAAGGTGATTTTTAATTTATTAATTAGCATAATTGATTTTACAAATGTTCAAAGTGTAAATTTTTTTTGTTTTGCGGTATACATTCTTATATAATATACTATAATGCTAATACTAATATTTTGAATAATTTTAAGGTTTTAAACGATCATCCTGATACGATTACCAACCAAGGTGTACAAATAATTTTAAAGTCTTGAGGATTCTTTCATGATGTAGAACAAATATTTAAAATTTTTGCTCCAATTAGAGCTACAATTTTGTGATTAGAAAGAGCAAATTGTATAATGGCAGATTGTTTTATTCAATTAGTTTGTTTAATTGCAACTATTTCTCATATGCCAAAAGAAAGAGATATGATTGCATTTTAAAATCAATGCATAGAAATTGTTAACAATTATTGAAATAAACTTGAAGCAGAACTATATATTTTAGCATATATACTGCATCCTAAATATTGAGGTATATATATATATTATTCTTTAACATTTTTAATATATTTATATTTGTATGTTTAATAATTGAATTTTTTTTTATAGATGCTGGTTTAAGAAAAGGAATGTACATATGAATTACTCTTTATGCTATGCAATTATGGCAATCAATAGGATACAAAGATAAATTATCCACAAAACTCTTATTGCTCAAATTATCAAATTTAAGGAAAAAGAATTTCTATACAAAGTTGGATATAATAGCCAAGTAATGACACCTTTTATATAGTGGAGCTTTATTAAAGATAAGTTTGATAATCTTAAAATTTTGGCCAAAAAAATTTTTGCGATAACTTTATATAGTGTGTCATGTGAATACATTTTTTCTATTTTGGGTTGGTTCTATAGTAAAAAAAGACAACGATTGGGGTTAAAAAATTTAGAATTACTTACTAAAATCTGATATTATAATTTACTTAATACATGTAAAGAGCTATTATATAATGTGAAAAACAAAACTGAAGATGAATAAGTAGTATTAATTCAAAGGTCTTATCTGTTTGATACCGAGAATAAAAATGATATAAGTGAAGACTATGAAGATAAAAATAATAGAAAATCAAATAATGATTTAGAAATTCCTAATCATCAAGTAGTAGTTCTTGTTATTAATAACATTGTAAATTTGTATCATCGAGTGTTTAATTAAGTAGGGGATTTGTATACCTCTAATGAAGACAATATCAATTCCAATGTTACTATAAATGAAGATCATGAATTTAATTTAGAAAAATTAGTTCAAAATCTTGAATAATATATATGTAAAGTCATGACATATACGCAATTTAAAAATAAATAAATTATATATTATCTCTTTATAAAATTACAATTAAATAAATAAGATAAAGAATATGTTTACAAACCACTATATAGAAGCATATAAGTAATTGCATATATGCACTGTATAAATTGTATATATATTGATATAAGATTACCCACTTATTACCAGGTAAACTGAACTATTTCTAATGAACTAAGTAACCAGTGTAGCCGTTGTTAGCATAAAGGGCCAAACTATACTGAATTACTAAAGCTAATTGTCATGGTGCTGTGCGATACTATGTGATCAGATTAGAATTTGTATAAATAACATGATCACGATTTAATTAAAAGTCTAAAAGAGTGATTGCATTAATATTGTAGTAATCATTAGTGATTAATATTGTATAAACAATATAGTAATTATTAGTGATAGTAATAATATATGGCATCCAAATAGGGGAAGTGTCTAACTTTGGTTCTCAATATCTCTAACTTTTATTCTTAGTAAATAAACAGTTATTAGTAGTAGTATCTGGTATAATACTTCAGTTATCATTTAATAGCCAAGCGAGTTAAATACTGACAACAAATATATAGTATTGTGAGGGACTCTGTGATACTAATTCGTCTACTTTAATGATTATCAACCTAGTTCTTAGCAAATACACATACATATCTTACTATTTTGTCAATTACTTTGCTAACAACTTCCCCTAACTTAGTTAATAATTATTAAGATAAGCTATTTATTCTAATTTATCACTTGGAAACTTAAGTAAGTTATTAATTTCGTTTTATTATGTTAATTAGTATTATATTTTAGAGTAATTTAGGAGTATAAACCACTCCATGCTGGTATCAAATTATTAGCTTATTTTGCTCATTTCAAAAACAATCTAAGGCTATAATTATTTTATTAGTAGAATGAAATTATATAATCCATAGACACTTTATTCACAAATAGTTAGATCACAGAAAAGTCTATTTTATAAATAATTAATTCAGATATATTTAATTTTATAAAATAAACTTATCTGTGAACTAACTGTCAAAATAAGGTACTGTTAGCAAAATCTAAACTAATACATATAATAATTGCTATAATTATACGTAATTAAATGTGAAATAAAATACTAGGCTAATTTTTTCTTATTGACTTTGGCTTTGCTATAGTCTCTTTGGCTATATCAATAATTAGCTGTAGTTGAATTGGCTTCAAGTAAGGAGTGAATTCATATTCTGCTTGGGTTTCAAAAAGTGCATAATAAGGAATTAATAGCTAAATATTTAATTTTTGGGATCTTAAACAATAAGAATTGATACAATAAATAGCTAGTGAAATAGTAATATAATTTAAGCTCTGTTAGTCAAAGACATGGAAAAAATGCGATTTTATTTAAAGAATTTAAAATTCCTATAAATAAAATCACACTTTTTTCATGTTCTTGCTGTTAGTAAATCATATGAATCTATTAAATATTTACTTCAATTTACGCAAATATGTAATATATTTTATAAATGTTTAAGTATATTGTTGCCATCTCTATAATCACGCTGTTTGTTGTAAGCAAAATAGTGATTATAAAGAGAATGATTATGTAGTACTTACGCTTTATAAGAATTAGTTAAATAACTTTAGTGTTCAATAATACACATACATAGTATATACACAGCTCTATAAATATAAGCATTTTAGATATCAACACATTTAATTAAACGAATTCAAAAATATATTTAATTTATAACATATAGTAGGTGGCCATATTATTGTGGGCAGTTTTTAAAAATAAATATAAAATTAAATAAATAAGATATTAAGCTGAAAATAAAAATATAAATTAATTAAATCTATATC